TTCCCGCCTCTTTGTCCCAACTTAAATAGGGCAATTCGCAGAGGTGCCAATTTGGCTCAACCTCCCCCGGGGGGGATGGGACTCAGATCTGGTGGCACAGGGAGCAAATCCCCTCCCCTGCCACCAGAACACTCCCCCACACATCAAACTATCACACCTCTTTTGGTTACCAGGTGTCTGCTCATAATTATTTCACAAGTTTTTGATGAGTTTAACAATATAGATAAGAATGATAATTACATTTTCATAAAACAGTTTATTTTTAATTTATTATTTCAAAATTAAGTTCTACTCTTGCTAAAAGCAGCAAAATGAGCATTAAAATAAATGAAATTGATGTTTGCCAATAATTGCTACCAAAGTAAAGTTTCTGAAACATTATTGAGGTAAAGGTATTTTATTAGGGGATCATGAGAGGAAGTCTGTTTTTAGCCTGTATCTGGGGCTAAACAATAGCTAGCTGTTCTAGTACCCAATGACCCCTCCCCACTCGAGGAAGGGAATCGGGAAAAAGAAGGAAGATCCATTGGTTGAGATAATAATGATAATAATAATATAAACAGAAAAGTGACGTACAGTGCAGCTGCTCACCACCCTTTGACCAATGTCATGCCCATTCCTGTTTAGCGATCCCAGAGCAGGAAAGTTTCAAAATCGCAATCCTGGAAGAGAGAGAGAGTAAGCTTTGGGAGCAGAATGATGGGTGAGACCCTCCAGGGGCCATTGAGGAAAAGAGCTCTTTCCCAACGAACTTTCCGATTTATAGTGAGCATGATGTTTCATGGTATGGAATACTCATTTGCCAATTTAGATGTCAATCACCCTGTCCACACTCTCCTCAGGTTCTTGGACATCTGAGTCATTAGCAAAAACAAGTTGAAAAGCCCTCAATCACTGTGGATACCTGCGTACCACGGTTGGCTACAAACTAAAACGAAGTGTCTTATCAACTTTCTTCTCACCAAATCAGGTGCCGCAATCTTCTTAAAAATGCATCTTACTTTAGAAATGTAGCTGCTCTGAACAGAAAATTAATTCTATGATTCCATCCCAGTGAAACCAGGACAGAGGAAGTGAAAGTTCTGAGGATAAATTTGTTGTAGATTTGCACTACATCAGATGCTCTAAGATGTGTATATATATACACATATGTATAGACATGTATCTTTATAAGTGTGTATGTATATATGAATGTATGCATCTGTGTATACATATATGCAGCCGCTGATGATGCAGCTGATTTTCCTGCATTTGAAAAGAAGACAGAGGAAAGTAAACTGCTAGATCCCCATTTCTCATCCTCCTCCTTTGCATTTTACATGTTGAGGGAGAGCTTTGCACATCTAATGGAAAGACGGATCTTTTCAAAGAGAAGTCTTTAGAGAAACAAGACAATTTAACTGATGCATTATTAAGATCAATTCAGAAAGTGAAACCTCGTACTGACACAGTGAAGTCAGACTAATGTGACTGAGAGATTCTTGAAAACATGGGGTTGTAGCATGTTCCAAATTGACAAAGATAACAAAAGTGCAAAATTCCTTTGATTAGAGGCCAACTTGGTCTGTTTCAAGGCAGATAAATTATATAGCACTCTCTTCTAAAAGTTCCCTTGTATTTTAAATCAACACTTTGAACAGAATGTCTATCAATCAATGTATTAAAAAGCTTAAATGTGCTCCAACAGTTGAAACCTTTGTACCATGACGTGTAGAATAAAGATCTCTGATGAAATTGTGACAGCAGTTGTAAAGACTAAAGACAATCAGGTGGAAAGAAGAGGATTTATCATCTGGGCTGTTATCAGTACTGTTTATATTTCCCTTGATTAACATGTTATTGGGTGATGGTCATTCACCACTTACAGTAATGTTAGCTGGAGGCAAATAGTTAGCTTGAAAGTTAAAAAAAAAAAGTGTCAGATACCATTTGGTACAGCTGAGCAAGCTGACTATTTGTCCTGTTTCCCTGGGGTCTGTCACTAATGTGTATTTTGTAACTGACTATGACTATACAGGTGCACTCCAGTCTGAAGATGCAGCAGGAAAAATTGTGTCAGACTTACCACAGGCTGGTCAGGAAATAACATCAAAAGATGACACAATATCTTCTTGCTCTTTTACAAATCAAAGAAAGTCCTCTCCAATTAACTTTTCAAAGTACCTGAATAGGGCACGTTATCTATTTTTCCTCCCAATTTTTAATCTAATTTTTAGCAGGAGGAGGTGACCATGGGACATCATGCTGGCTGTGTTGAGACTGAGCAATATCTTTGCATGTTTAAAGGGCAGGAGAGAAGACACAAATACATCTAGAGACGATGCCCCTTGCTCATTCTCAGTCAAGAAGGACTGAACAAAGGCATCCATTTCCCTTGAGACCTATTGCTGGAGATGGAAATATACAGCACTGATATCCAGAAGATCAACATTTATGCTATCTTTGAGACAGATAGGAGACCAATATAGAGCCAGGAGCAGCTCAAAACATTTAGGGCACTCTTCTTAGCTGTCCTGAGGGTGGTGGCTTCTTTGAGATATGTCATTGTTGATCTGTCTCTGAAGAACCACCAAATTTTCACTATTTTCTCTTTTATGTGGTTGGTTCTTCAAAATTGTTTTATGCTGCTTTCCCTTTTCAGTGCAGTGAAAAAACTAAGGTAGGCCTTGGTTGATGATTTTTAAAATCACAACATCTTTCAGCCACCTGTATTGTTTCTTCTTATTTAGGAACATATTTTGACTCTAGGAGCTGTTTATACTGAATTCACACTTTATGAATTTATATAATCTCCACCTAATTTAAAATGTCCTTTTTATCAGGGAAGTCCTGTTTGGATGCTGAACTGATTAGGAAAAATTCTGTCAAGTTGTAAGCCCAACCTTACACTTACTGCTGTAATAAGAACTTTACATCTCTGTCCTCATCAAAATACTCTTTATCTAAAATTACATAAAGCTTACACTTCTTTTCCTGCAATGTTCCCCACTCTGAGCTAAAAACACAGTGAGAAAGACAGTGTAGTTTATGCAATTCCAAAAAAGAATGGCTAGGCAGATGCTCTGTGAAATGTAACCACCTCCTTGACCTTTAGGAAGGCATGAGAGAAGGGAAGAAGGGAAGATGCTGCTAGTTTCTACGTAATAATTCGTATTGTTTTCCTCAAAGCAAGGTATTCACTGGGGGAAAAAGGAAACGAGTTACCTTTGTATTCAGAAGAACAGCGTTCTATTAATGTAACTATAGCTTCATTCTGTAACAGCATGAAGCAAATCAGATCTGTCACTTCCCCATGAAAGTAGGAAAATAAGGGAAAATAAGGGACATTCTCCTCCTTGCAAAATCCTTCTGTACAACCTTTTTTAGTTGGGGAAGATCTGAAGGATACTCCTTTAAAACCTAACCAAGAGATATACCAGTAGTTTTCGATATCTACTGTCTTCCTTTCAAGTAAACCCAATGTTTGCCCAGGTTATGATGTATGAATGATGTTATTATCATTCTTAGAATAGTACTGAGTGAGAATCTTTAGAGACATTGCAAACAGGTGCTAAAAGCATATACTCATTACAGTTTTTCATATATGACTTGCAAAATCCCAAGTCTATGATATAATTACTTTAGGTTCATATAATCTTTTGCTGTGGTTTTCACTCTGTCTTATCTGTTTGTTATTCCTGAAAGATCTGCAATAATTATTTGAGATAATAATAGCATCTGTGAGGTCAACATTCATAAAAAGACCTCATGAGGAAAAGCTGATTCTATTGACTTCAGTAGTGACATGATTTCACTATCTTTTGTGTAAATTTGTGAGAGTTTTAGTACAAGAAGCGCCTTTTTTTTTTTTTTTAAACAAGGGGAAAAAATTAATCTGCTCTCTTCCATTTTAAACAATTTTAATAGCAAAAGTTCTTGAAATCTGAAATTCTATGACAATGTCAATAAGGTCCAAAGTTCTGTTATACATTGCTTTTAATCTTTATTTACTTAAGGAGTGTTCCTGGTCAGAGGTCAACATTAGTATTAATCATTGATAGATTCTACATATAAGAAGAAAATGCACCCATTTTATGAAAGAGTCCTTGTACTAAAGAATTCATGTAAGGGGTTTTACGTTAGACCCAAGCTGCAACTCGAATGGCATTATGAGAGCAGAGTGATGTTCCTTCAGTTAAAAAAACTGTCGTTGTACCCTGGATTTACAAAGAAAATCCCAGAGCTTACAAAATCCCCCCTAGACTTGCTTGCCATCATGATCACTGTGAAGTGAGGATAGGGATGGATGAGCATGGGCTGTGCCCATGGTGGAGGCCTGGCCTTCCTTGTCTCTGGTGAGAAAGTATGAGGGCAGGGTGCAGTCTGCCTTCTCCTCCAGGTTATCCTGACAGCCTGAGGGAGGCTGGTGGTGGTGGTGGTTAGGTATTCTATAATGATCCAGCTGTCATGTACCATTCAATACCCTTTCAACTTGCAAAGAAGATCCATGTCAAAGCAAGAACAGAAGTATGCTAGATACTTAATGAAACTAGAGGGAACTGTATTGGATGCCACTCCTACTCAAATGTCAACTCCTTTGTTCAAGCCTCTTCTTCTTCCATTTGATGCTGGGACAAGTCCTTCCCTGCATGCAGACATTTGGAGGTAAAAGACTGCGTTGCTCCTTGTGTTTTCCTTGGAGATGTAAACATGGGCTCCCCACCTGTCACATCACGGATATGCTATTTAGTTTTTACTTTCAGTCTTGCATAAAATTACAGCCCCATCCTCCAGAAGGTGGTTAGCTGGTAGGCCCTAGTGTGGCAGAGCATTGCTGATAGCTTTGTAGCTAGCTGGGCGGCAGAATGTGCATGTGTCACACCATGACACAGTCAGCATCTCTTCTGTTCCACACCTGGGATGCAGGGTCAGAGTGGCCTTTGCAGCACTGTTGATTTGCACAGTTTGTGAATTATCTAATGACCTAGGGAGCATTAGGGAATTCATGAAGAATGCTGCCCAGGCTGGTACTAAGCATAGAGATTAAGGCAGCAAGTAATAAGGCAAAGAGCAACAGCAAGACATCTTAAAAAAGCTCTCAGATGATGCAAATTAGAAAATCCTTTGATGACACTTACGTACAAAAGGAGACCTATTCTCACTTGACCTGTGATCTTCCAAAATCTTTCGGAACAAAATAAACAGTTCCTCTCTGAACCAATAATCTCACCACCCTTAGTTTGTTTTGACCAAGCCAAGGACTGCAGCCCCAGGCTCTCTCTATATCATCGTAACAGTTCATTTAAGTGAAAATTCAATGACCCTGCAAATGAGCATTAAAAGTAGGAATAACTACTGCTTTTACTAAAGGAATAAGAATTTCAGGTGTTAGCAGTGAAAAATTATTTAACCTCCTAAATGGATGAACCACTAAAAGGGAACAGTAAACTGCAGTCTTCTGATACTTATAAATGGAAAGGTAGGTCCAAACAATGCACATTTGTAAATTCTCAAATAAAACCTTAAAATATCAGCAGACTTACTTTCTATTTACTTTATCAATGCTTTAAAAGTGAGTAATTAAGATCAGACAAAAATTAGTTATAGTGTTTGACCACTCTTACAATAAAAAATATTTTTCCTTATGGCTACTTAAAATTTCCCCACTTGTTGCCTCCTTTCCTTTCACCATGCAAACCTGAGCTGTCTATAAGCCCTGCTTAAACCGCTGGAGAGAGAAAATAGATGCTCCTTAGCCTACACTTCAGGTTAAACAAGCTCTGTAGCCTCCCCTCATATGTCACGTGTCTTTCCCAGAAATCAAGGCATGCTTGCAACCATTCTGATGGTCGTCCATTGGGTTTCTTCTGCATGCTTCACAACTCTTTTCTATTGAGAGGGCTCAAAAATCAAAACTATATCCCAGATGCAGCCTCACTAGTGCCCAGCAGAGAGGAATAATAACTTTCCTAAACCTGCTGGCTATGCTGTAATTAATGCAACTGTATACCAGGTTATCTTTCATCACAATAAGGGTAGACTGGCCCATGTTCAGTTTGGTGTCAAATAAACTTCAAGTCCTTCCCTGGAGAGCTGCTACTCAACCATTCACTCACTGGCCTGTACTGTTGCACGGAGTTGTTCATTTCCTCTGTTCCCTTATCTCCCGCCAGACGCGGGATTTTGTATCTGCCTTTGTTGACAAAGCTAGCCCATTCCTCCAGTCTGACAAAGTCCTCCAGAATGGGAGCTGTATGGTCAGCATATCAGTCTCTTCCTCCCCTCCAAGTTAGTAACATCCACAGACTTCCTGGACAAGCTCTCCTAGCACCTAGGTCCCCTATGGAGATGTCACTCTGGCATCTTCTGAAATGCCACCTGGAACAGAGACTTTGAACTAGTGGTCAAGCCAGTTATTCATCCACTCTGTAGTTCACCCTGCTCCTCAGTTTGGGTACCAGGTTACTGTAGGAGACTGTGTCAAAAGCCTTGCTAAGGTGGAATAAAACAACATTCATGAATCCTTGTGAATGGAAGGTTGGCCACACGCTCTGTTCTCTCAGGATGTGGTCCAAAAAAGAAGTGGAAACCCAACATGAGCCTGAAATGTCCTCTAGCATGCATTTAGCCAAGGTGATGCTTGTCTGTTGAAATTTGCTGTGTGCAGTATATTTCGTCAAACATGTCAGTGCATGAAAAATCATCCTCAGTTCAATAAGCATAAATATAAATCAACAGCGCAGGAAACCAATATTTTTAAAAGACAAGATACTGTATGAATTTATCCACCAGTTTGTAGAACTGTGCCTGCTTAACATACGGCAGTTTTTACTCTCCTCTCCACTTTGTTTTCACCTTTTATTTCCCTTGTTTTCTACAGGTTGCCAATGAAAGAGGTTCTGTTTAGGTATGATGGTGAGTATCATTATTTTTCTGACTTGATTACAGTCAAACTTTGAGCATGTAACTAGTTCTTTATTGTCACTTCAAACATTTTGTATGATTTTGTTTAAAAAAAGAATAGGATGTTGTAGCTATACAATTTAGTGTTTGGATAGTAAGCTGGCTATGTTTAGTGAACTATTTTATATATATATTTACCAGTGCAGAATAATTCAACTTAGCATCACAGAATAAAGTCACAATTAAATTAATTTTAAGTGAGATGCAATCAAACAGAAGAAATTGAGGTATGGTCTGGAATTAGATTGCAAAGTAATGCCATTGAAATAAGATGAATATTATGTTATATTTGACTGTATAACCACATAGTGCCATTAAAATGAATAGTTTGCTAGAGTTAAACAATACTATATTGCAAATAATGAGCTATGCTTGAGAGCAGATATAATGTAGTACTTAACAAGGGAGGTCAGAAAATAGGTGATATAAAAAAGACTGAAATGGTCGATACCTTTTTTTTGTTGTTTCAGTCTTCACAAAAAAGGTTAATTATGACTTAAAGTTCATTTAAGTTATTATTAAGAATTTGGGAGTAAGATCATGGAGAGAAAAGGAAAAGAACACCTGGACTCCTGAGGTAAATTGGAGTATCCAGGATTAGACATTCAGTCTAATGAAACTTACCCTTAAAGTACTTAACCAAAGCAATTTGTCAAACACTAGTGATTAGCAAGATGAGTGAGTTCCCAGAAAACTGGAGAAAAGCAAACACAATGTCATATCTAACAAAGGAGAAAGGAAAATCTAAAAAAAGTCAGCCCTAATAACATTTCTAAGACACTAGAACAAAGTATTAAACAACCCATTTGTAGGCATCTAGAGAATAGCAAGGAGATAATAGGACTTGCACAGGGACACGTCAGAAGCAAATCCTATCCAGTTGATCTCATTTCCTTCTTTGACAGCAAAACAGATACAGGGGATGTGTTTGATACAGCGTATCTTCGATGAAGTCCCACATGATGTTCATAAGCAAGCAGAACAGATATAGACTAAATTAAATTCACATCAGGTAGATGAGCAACTGATTGGAAAGTTGGACTCTGAGAAAAATCTTTTGCTGCCGAAGTGGGAGAACATCTCACACAGGCTTCTACAATGCTGTCTTTTAGCTCTAGCACTATAAAATATTGTCATTAATTACTTGCTCAATCACATGGACAGTAAGCTTACTAAATTTACAGATAATGCCCATTTGGGAGGACTTGCAAACAATTTGCAAGACAGGATTAGAATTCGAAAAAATGTTACTTACATTAGAGAAACGGCTTGAAATCAATATGATAAAATTCATTGAAGACAAATACAAAGAAATATGAAAAGCATAGATAGAAGAAGAATGACAATAATACTGCAGGAGAGAACCTGAGGATTACAGGTGACCACAAACTGAATCTCAGTTGAAGAGGCAATGCTCTCACAAAAAAATGCCATTCTGGGGAGATGTTGAAGGGTGTGATTATAACATGATGGAGGTAATTACTCATCTCCGTTCAGCATTAGTGAAGAGTCAGTTGCATGGGATGTGGGAAACAAATGGCAGATTTAGAAAAGATGTAAAGGTTTCAGTGTCTTCACACAGAAGAAAAGAAATAAGGACAGAGCAGAGGCACAGCAGTATATATCTCTTCATAATGGACTGTTATAAAGGAGTATGAGTCACTTCGTCATCCGTCCTGCTAATATGAGAAAAAAAAATGGGCCTAAATTTCTGGGAGAGACATTTGGTTTAGAAATTAGACAGCTGACAGCTATGTGGAAATTTAAGTGCTAAAACAGTTTACCTCAGGCTGCTGCAAAGACAGGCAAGCATCTCACAAGGTAAGTTTGATCTGCCAGCTGTCATCTTCTCTCACAGCTATAGCAGTAGAAAGGTGGCTGAATATATCTTTAGTTTTGTGTTTTTTTTTTTTATCTGAAACCATAAGTTACATTTGTTAGCCAGATCATCAGGTTGTATAAATTAGGAAAACAAAGTCACCTCAGTGTATGTTATGCAGTTACTAATCTGTATTTTTGACAACTTGTGTTCATGCGAACTCTTCTTTTGCAGCCTTGAATTAGGATCAAGAGCTAAAACCGTAGAGTATTTTGAGACCCGTTTCTATACTGAGAAGGAGCCCACAACACAAATGTCATTTAAAGCATCATTTAAAAAAATTACTTGCTTTCAATGTGCTAATTGCAAAGCAGTAATAACAATCAAATATTCTTTCAAGAGATAATCTTGCGTACTAGCATAATTAACCCCAGAGATACACACATGAATGTGCTATACTGAAATATCATTTCTTGAAGTGCTTGTTGGTTTAAGAGATGCCCAATATAACACAGATAATTTTCTTTAGAAATAATATAAATTTTGAAATTAAATAAAACAGTATTTTTGTTGCAAAGTGCTTGTTGTGATTCTTATTTTTACTCCTGCATATCTGGCTCCACATATTTCAAATAGCTAAGAATGAATGCCAGCACCATTGGGAAAGGAACGCTCTAATGCTCTTAACCTTGGTGGTATTTTGTGACCATACAGATGCTTATGTTTTGTGAAATACTCCAGGAATTATTCACATTTATGTCAGCACCCACAGCAACCAGCATGCACAGTGATTCTGCCCTGCCAGGCAATACTCCTCGCCCTTTTAGCAAGGCAGTGTCTGTGCCAGCTGGTGAGTGCAGATGGAATTACTAGTTGCACTTCTGGTGCACGTGGAAGAATCACCACTTTCCTCTCCAGTTTATGACGCTGTTTTTTTGACCCTGTGCTGCTCCCACACAGTGTTGTATCTTAAAAAATTTGCTTCAAAAATGCACTATAAAAGTCTAAGGAAGCTGACTGTCTATGCTTGCATGAGTCAACTGCCGCCTTCTTCATCCCTTGATTGTTTGTACCACAAATCCCCCCACAGGTACGTATATGCTCAGGACCTTCACATCGTAGCCCTGTCCTGGTGTGCGGGAGCATTCTACCTCTTGACACATTGCTATGTGTTGTGGTTGAGATTAATATTTTAATGAGAATTGCTGCTGCTGCTGTCATTAAAATTAATGCGATGAACTAATTTATAAAATATTGTCATCAGTTAAAACATTAAAATTAAAAACAGTTTAAATGGAATAGTCCTTAGGTTACTCAGCCTCTTGCACTGTTGGACCTGCTGTAATTTCAATCCATCCTGCATATAAACTGTTGAACTCCGGAACCATGAAAACAGAAGAGAAGTTCAGCAATCAGTGAGTCTCTCTACATACCTTTACATAGGTAAAATATACGTTTTACCCTTGATGCAGGAGCTCACACATCCTATTGAACATCATGAACAGATTGACAGACATACAAGGTTTATTTTTCATTAGCTTCTTTTCTCAATAGAAAAATAATAGAAGTTGTGTGTACATGTTGTGGACAGCATATTCGTTAAACAAATGCTGAAAAGAAGAAATTGAGAAAAGCATTTCACTGAGTTCAAGAGAGAGTTCCTGGGGACAGAAATCAACACATATAGGTAAATATAACAAAAAAAGTATTGAAAACTTTCAAAAATACATATAAGATCATACATACAGACACATCTATAGCTATAAATGTTTTATAAATATTGTACAAGATGTAATAGGTCTACCCACTAAGGATCTTATTTTCAGTAGAGCACTGAACGAGGCAAAATTCGTATTTAGAACCAGTGTGATATGTGTGATTCTCAAAAGTCTTGGTAGGCTTTCCCACTCATTTTTTCAAAGCATTTGCTTTGTTCTGAATTTGTTCCAAACCCAACTTTCTTTTCCTCTTGAATTTTATTTTCGTAAAGCTCAAATCCTATTTAGCATGTCTAAGCAAGAGAATTATTCATACAGTATGGTTTAGGTTGAATTAGCCCAAGTGATAGACTGAAGCCCATAGTTGGAAGGAACACAAACAAGAGAAAAAACTACTGGGATTATAGGAGGGGCAAAACAGGAATCCTTTTGTTGATCTCTGGTTTTGTGAGTTTGTTCATCTGTGCATACTTTACAAAAGTTTCCCTATCTGTTCAAACAGCTTCCACCTGTAAATGAAAAATGAGAGTACGTTGGCAATTACAGTCTTGGAAGTGTATCCTGAGAAATCAATGGAAAAAGTATTAAGAGAAAAAAATCCTTTAAGAAGAGATTATAAAGAGCAAAACTCAACATGAAAATTTGATTGCTTTTTCAGTAGTACTGTAAAATTAATTTATGCTGTTTATTCAATAGTGTAATATATTTAGTCCAAGTTCTGATGTCTTTACTTCTATTCATTCTTTTTCTGGCAAAATACACATTCATGTCAGGCTCACAGTACTGCCTGTGTTTAGCGAGAGCTTATGGTTCCTTTTCTCCCTCATCCTCTCTTGCAGTCTGGCACACAGTGTTCACTCCATCCTGTGTGTGCTTGTTGCATTTCTGTTGTTGTTATGTGCTGCAACTCAAGCCGGCAAAAAAAGACTTATTGAGGTTGGCCCAAGTGGTGAGAAGGGAGATTTGCCTAGCTCAAGCTATGTATCTGGGCAGGGGCATAGAATTTCGTTGCTGCATCGGACTAAGGAGAGCCCTTGGCCCCAGGAATCAAATTCCTTGTCTGGAATCCAAAGCCTGGTTTGGTGTGGCACAGCTCTGTGGTCTTGACTCAGTTTTAATGAGAAAATTGCTTAAATATCAGGAAGTTCACAAGTTAAAGCTATGCTAAATGAGAAAAATGAAAGCACAGAGAGAAGCCTTTTGTTAAAAGAGTAACAGTAGCAGCTCAAGGATACAAAAAGAAAAAAATTTGTACCTCAAGGTATAAAAAAACCTTGAAAGTAGAGAAACTGGCAACTCATCAACACCCAGGATCAGCATTTTAAGAGGGCTAAGAAGCTCAGTCCTTTGCCACCTCACTGATGCTTGCCTACCCTGCATAGGCTCACTGGCTGCTTCACTGGGGTT